CCGACGCGATACCGCCCTGAAACAGTTTGAGCAGAAATAGCCAATCTGGGCAAATCTAGCAACTTGTCTAGCTCCTCGCTGCAGCATCCGATGACGATGACACGCATATGCTCGCGAAGCTGCTGATGAGACCTTCAATTTGCACCGCTTCTTGGAATAGCCCGTCCCCTACTTGCCAAGAAATGGCAAGAGGCGTCTGGACCCGAAATTTCAATTTTTTTGGCTCTCGCTCTCAAACAGATACTTCGCTCTCAATCAGGCGAATATGTTGTTCGTCCTAAATCGACGCGATCAGTCTATCTTTACTTCTGTTTGGACAGTAGAAGAAGCAAGCGGCGAGAGACGATTTGATCGAAGCAGCTCGGAAAAAAATGTCTGCAACAGGTTAGACTATTATTCTAAGTGTATTCCGTGGAGCGCAACACCAAACGCCCCGGGGTGTGCTCAGGACTAAGAAAGGTTGGCGCACGCCAGACCGTCTTGTCGGGCACAAAGAACATTTTCCCCCAGATAGCATTGGACCCCCAATCAGATGACAACGAGTTCAGGGAAGTTACTCAGTGGTCGCGCCCCGGCTGAAAATCCGCTGTCCTGGCCAGAGCATGATATATTCGATTTCTGCACTTCCGATAGACAGCACATGACAGCAGTATCCATGTAGCCATGACCATCGAGGTTTTCCGCCGCGCTCACTCAGCATGATCTGTCAACCAACCCTCGACATCTATTTGTTGTTCACTCTATCGGAATGAAACGGTAGGGAGTGGTCCAGCGATCGTACAACGAGTACGCCGTGAGGGTGCAGGACACCAGCGAGTCCCGACCCCAGGAGTGATGATGGGGGGGCTCTCACAAGGAAGCGACAAGGGGCCGGGGACGCTCAAGGTTGTCCCCGCTGGCGAGACAAAGGAGGGGGTGTTGTGCATAGAAATGCGCATCAGGCTGTACACCGACGGCGCCATGAGCAAGCTTCTCGAGAGTCTCGCGAAGGTGAAACTATTGACGGAGGTGGTTAGAGACGTTAATATGTTGGGTGATTGTGAATCCCTCGCTTCTATTCTCCCGTCAACTAGAACTCCTTCCGTGACTCCGGCGGAGTCAGATTTTCGCGTCAGGCTTTTTCTCGGCCGTGCGCCGTAAATCCCTTTTGCCTCGGCACATGCTTTCCCTTGTCGACAGTGACATCGATAACTGGAAGATTGCACGGCACAGGCGCCTCTGCATTACAAGGGCCGAACGGTTGCCGTACTTGGTGTTGTTAGATATGCTCGCAGCAGTATCTGGTCGTGAGGATCCCAGGGGATACGTGTTGGGAATTTCGTGTGTAGTAGGGTATCACCGGTGCAGTCACGGGGATCCTTNCTCTCAACCTCTCTCTCTCGGTCTAACACGGCCGACTACCCAGTGCCCCAAGTAACGTCCAGAACGTGCTTGCTGCACCCCGCGTAGTTTACCTTTCACACTAGTGCGAGATCACGGTATCTGCGCGCGGGCGTAGCCTTGCGGGGGTTGTGCAGGACTCCCACAACAACATACACCATGGAGGGCATCGACCTCTCCGCCCTTAGCGGGGAAGAGCTACAGCAAAAAGTGGAGGAGATCGTCCAGCAACGAGTGCAAGCCGAACTCGAAGCCAACAGGATAAACGAGGGTGAAGTCACCTACGCCCCACCACCTGCCGGCAACCCGGTCCCACCTACCGGCAGCCAGCCATCACCCTCCAGCCAGGGTAAAACACCTTCCTTCAACGACCCCAGCAGCGTCGCACACATCGTGGCGCAAGCGGCTAAGGCGACAGCTGAGGCCATCGCTGAACAACAGGGCTTTGCCCGCTCAGGCACGTTACGTGTAAATCCAGGCTCAGAAATCGAACCTTGGCTTGGTAGTGTGAAGAAGGAGCAGGATCTGTACATTATGTTTGATATTTTTCGTGGTAAGATGATTTCATATTTTCAGGAGGAGGGTGTGCACGATGCGTTGGAACTGGAGGTTGAGGTCAAGGTCGGGAAAAGGGGTGTGAATGTAGGAGACCTTCGGAGACTTTTTGGTTTTGGTAATGAAGTGGTAGACAAATCTTTCAAACTGTGGAATATCCGTATCAGCAAGGTTTTGTATCCCCCGATTCAGAGCTTGATTCTGGCGTGTGA